TGCCCTCTCGCCCTGCATGCTCGCCCGCCCAGCGCCGCTCACTGCCCCTGGCCGGCTCACCTCACTCCACCTAGGGACTCTCTCTGCCCCTGCGTTCTGCATCCACCCCGCGTTCAGGGTCCTTCGCTCGGTTGTTTCTTCACCCATTTGTGTAGCTGTTCAGCACAGCGACCCCTTGTCACTCAGTCATACACCCAGTCCCTGGAGAGATGTTCCTAAGGGTTTGTTCCTTGTCAGTGGCGGCATAATAAATGACCACAAACTTGGCAGCTTGAGGCAAAACACGCTCACTATCTCATAGTTTCCTGGGTGGGGAGTCTGGGCAGAGGCTAACGGATCCTCTGTTCAAAGCTTCCAGGCTGCAACCGCAGCTCCGCTGGGACTGTGCTTATCTCAGGATCGTTCTTATCTTCCAAGTTCCCCTGTTCAGGGGCAGGATTCATCTTCCCACGGTCGCAGAACTCAGGGTAGCTTGTCTGGAGACTAGTCAGAGAAAGCCTGAATAGAGGTCCTCTTTGAAAGGACTCGCCTGCTTAGGCCAGGCCCACCTCGGCGTGGCCAAAGATTAGGCGCCTTAATGACACTGCAAAACCATTTCCACACGAAGTAGTCTAATTCCGGGAGTCGCAACCCACCACCTCCTCATATTCCGCTGGGTAGAAGCAAGCTACAGGTCCCACCCCCACCCAGGGGTCACGGGGTGTCGCCTTAACATGTGACTCTAAGAGCCGGTCACGCTGGGGCTGTGCAGTGCTGCTCCCCTGCTGCCCACCCTCCTGGCACCCCCTCGCAGCAGCCCAGGCAGGAGCTGCCTGACTGACCGCCCCTCCCCCCCAGGTATGCGACTCAGACACAAGACTGGACCCCAGGGCGCTGCTGGAACTGGTGCAGGTGCTGGACGAGGACCCCCGGGTCGGGGCTGTCGGCGGGGACGTGAGGATCCTTAACCCCCTGGACTCCTGGGTCAGCTTCCTGAGCAGCCTGCGGTACTGGGTGGCCTTCAACGTGGAGCGCGCTTGCCAGAGCTACTTCCACTGTGTGTCCTGCATCAGCGGGCCGCTTGGTGAGCAGGAGTGTGGTGGGGGGCTGTGGGTGAGGTGGGAAGGAGAAGAGGAGCCAGATGGCCTGAGGAAGCGATCAAGATGGGGAGAGCAGGCGCTGGGAGGCGGGAGGTGGGGGTGGCATTTGGTGTAGAGCTCCAGGCTGGTGAAACAGCATGGATGTGGGCTGTGCTGGGGGGCGTGTTGGGGGGCAGGTGTAGGAGGAGCTTGTTCAGAACAAGGTTGGGGCCAGGTTCGGGGTGGAAGCGAGTTTTGGGGTGGGGATGGCGAGGGGAGGGGCTGAGGAAGCATTTACTAGCGATGGGCTTGGCGTGGAGTTTGTTGAGGTGGGTCGGCTGCGGGGCAGCCATGGGGCAAGTCTGGGTCCCGCGGCTTGAGGACGGGGCTGCGTTGTCATGGGAGCGAGGCGGCTGGCCGCAGCACAGCTGACCCTCCTGGGCGCCTGTGCCCCCCAGGCCTGTACAGGAACAACCTCCTGCAGCAATTTCTTGAGGCCTGGTACAACCAGAAGTTCCTGGGCACACACTGCACCTTTGGGGACGACCGGCACCTCACCAACCGCATGCTCAGCATGGGTTATGCCACCAAGTAAGCTGAGGGCCCGGGAGGCCCGGGGGGAGAGGCCCGTGAGGCTGTCAGGGAGAGAGAGTGTGTGAGGGTGTGTGTGTGTAAATCTCCAAACCCCAAGTAACCACAGGACAAGGGTCTCCACCAAGCTGGATACCGTGAGGGTGGGGGTGGCATTGGCCCTGACACACTCCACCCTCTGGACTCTACCAAGTGGAGGCAGGCTAGGGAGGAGAGTTCCAGCTAGAAAATACAAAGGAGATGAGTTGAGATGGCTTCACCACCCAGAGAAAATTACTCAAGGCCAGGCAGGGAGGGAAAGGGAAACAGGGCAGGGCCTAACTGTCAGAGAGAGAAGAATCCAGTGAGAGAGGAGGGCCCCCCAAACTCTAGGCAGTGTTTCAGGAAGAAGAGAGGCCACTCAGTGAGCCTGGGGGAGTAAGGTCCGACCAGGTGAGCTTCAGGGCAAAGTGGGATCTACCAAGTCAGACCCACTGGACTTGGGGTGTATCGGGGGACCCCTGCATTCATTTGCTCAAGATTCCTTAAATGCCTGCAGTGTTTTAAACTCTGGGGGAGCAGCAGTTTAGCAGAGACACAAGTTCCAGCTGACCTTGACTGGGGAGGCAGACAAGCGATATGCTGAATAACTTAGAGTGTGTTCCCTCCCTCTGATGTGCTGTGGAGAGAAAGCAAGCTAGTACGGGATGCCTCACTAGGGCGCCTGAGGGGAGACAGGGAGGCAGTCAACATCCTGTAGATGGGAGAATAGCAAGGCAGAGACAAGAGGAGGTGGAGAGTAAATGGGGGCAAGAACTTTGGATTGGGTGAGGGCGCACCGGGAGGGCTTTTAGCAAAGGGTGACACGTTTTTATAAGACCACCTCTGGTAGCTGCCTTCGAGTATTTGTGGCAGGGGTACAAGAAGAGGAGTTACTGAGATGCCAAGTGACTCAGAGGGAGAAATAACACTGTGAAGACTGTGGGGATAGAAGGATTTGCCCCCTCCTAACCAAAGGACCTCCTGTGGCCACCTGATGATTGTCCATAAAAGGCATTCTTGCTGGGCTGGCCTGGCTGAACAAGGGGCAGGCATCGATTAGTGATGTCTGCCTGCACATGAGCATAGAGATCGACTAGTGATGTCTGCTATGGCCACAGAAAGGGAGCTTGATGGCTCCTCTGAGAGGCTGAGGGGGGTGGGGGAGCCAGTGCCCTGGGTAGGAACCATGCCTGGCTTCTCTCTCACCACAGCGTCTGCCAATAAGAGTGAGCACAAGAGTATTAGTCATAGATGGCAATCGTATTAGTAACAGTGTCACTGAAGTGATGAGTAATACAATAGTAACATTAATCACAGTCAAACTAGCAGTAGTGGTAGCTAATGTTCATTGAGCAAGTACTGCATGCCTGACCTGAGCACTGGGCATTAAATCCTAATTGGAGCCTCCTGTAGCTCTATGAGATGAGAACCATTGTGGACCCCACTTGGCAAGGAAGATAGGGCGGGAGGCTGAACACCTGTGGATGCAAGAAGAGGGGGAGCGAGTGTAGGGAGAAGTGTCCGAGAACCAACAGGGGGGCTTCTGGAAGAGCTGCAGAAACGTCTGGAGTGACAGGAAGCCCTGGGGGGGCCAGAAAAGTTAAGCAAAGTTTTGGGCTCCCTGGCCTCCCGGGGCCCTGCCTGCCGACCGCCAGAGCGCGCCTCACCGCCGCCCCTCTCCCGGCCCAGGTACACGTCCCGCTCGCGCTGCTACTCGGAGACGCCCTCGTCCTTCCTGCGCTGGCTGAGCCAGCAGACGCGCTGGTCCAAGTCCTACTTCCGCGAGTGGCTGTACAACGCGCTGTGGTGGCACCGGCACCACGCCTGGATGACCTACGAGGCGGTGGTGTCGGGGCTCTTCCCCTTCTTCGTGGCGGCCACGGTGCTGCGGCTCTTCTACGCCGGGCGCCCGTGGGCGCTGCTGTGGGTGCTGCTGTGCGTGCAGGGCGTGGCGCTGGCCAAGGCGGCCTTCGCGGCCTGGCTGCGCGGCTGCCCGCGCATGGTGCTGCTCTCGCTCTACGCGCCGCTCTACATGGGCGGCCTCCTGCCCGCCAAGTTCCTGGCGCTGGCCACCATGAACCAGAGCGGCTGGGGCACCTCGGGCCGCCGCCAGCTGGCCGCCAACTACATCCCGCTGCTGCCCTTGGCCCTCTGGGCGCTGCTGCTGCTCGGCGGCCTGGTGCGGAGCGCGGTGCGGGATGCGCGCGCCGACTGGAGCGGGCCGGCGCGCGCGGCCGAGGCGCACCACCTGGCCCTGGGGGCCGGCGCCTACGTGGGCTACTGGGCCGTCATGCTGACCCTCTACTGGGTGGGCGTGCGGAGGCTCTGCCGGCGGCGGTCGGGGGGCTACCGCGTCCCGGTGTGAGGTCCGGGCCGCGGGGCTCCCGCTCAGGGTCCCCGGGGCGACCAGGGACAGCCGGAAGCCGGGAGCCATGAACTTGCTGCGTGACCTTCTGGGCCTCAGTTTCCCTCTCGGAAGTGAGGGGGCGGGCCGGGGTCTTCAGACAGGACTATGTGGGGGCTGGGGCCGTTGCGTCCCTGGGGGAGGGGTATTTATTGATCAGGGTGTTGATTTTGGGAGGCAGGAGGTGCGGTCCAAAGGTTGGCTGGGACCCAGCTTTCTTGCTGTTTTTAATCTCCATTTCTACTGTGTGATTAGGATGCAATAAAGTTTATTTATTTTCTTGAGTCGCCCACTTGTTTTTTTAACCGAGGGGGCTGCATGGTGAGAACTGGGGTCTTCAGCTTGAGTAGTTTTGGCTACTTTTTTTTTTTTTTTAAGATTTATTATGCACACAGAACTGGGGTACAGGCCAGAGGTGCAGGGGTGGTGAGAGGATTCACCTGAGTGGGGAGCAGAACAGGCAGATGGGCGAAGCACACTGAGGGGGGCTGTGGGTAGACAGGAGTGGTCTGCCGGGGGTCACCCATGGAACGGCACTGAAGTGGCTGCAGCCAGCTTGCAGTGCTGCGTGGTGCCACCGGGGAGGGCCGAGTTTTGGCCGCTTAGAGACAGGCTACTTCCCTTCCCTTGACTACACCCATTTGCAGATAGGGACATTTTCTCTACTCATTACAGACGTCTGCACCCACTACAGGCCTGGGTCTCTAGGCCCTGGGGCTGTCCTGGCCCCCCACTGGTACCCTCTGGGGCTACCTCAGACCTTCACTCCCTCCTCAGGCCTCTCCTTAGCTTGCTTCCCACCTCAGGGAGAGAACAGGCCAAGGTCCCCACCCCCTGGGCATCTTCCCTAGACCTGCCTGTGCCCTGGGTCACCCCTGCAGAGACCATGCCAACCCCTTCCTCCCAGACACCTGCCGGGCGCACCCCGGGGACGCCTGGCAGCTCCCTCACTCTACTGGCTCCTATCATCTTTCCACCTCCTGGGCCTCCAGGGCCCCCTTGACTCACCCCTGGCACAGAACTCTGGGACAGCCGCGCTTGCCGCCACTCCCCCCACAAAGCTCACTTTTAGTAAGTCACTACTTCACGCAGCCACCCCGTAATGTAGTCTTAGGGAATTCCCATCACCCCAAAAGGCCACACTGCCTCCTGTCTGTGGATTTGCTCAGCCTGGGGCGCGGGGCGCGCCGACCAGGCAGCCAGCTCCCTCCGACTGGATGGTGCCCAGGCTGTGCCACGTCTCGCTGCAGGTGACGCTGCAGGGTCCTTTCTTTGCCCCGACAGTCCATTGTGGGGACATGTTGCATTTTTATTACCCACAGCCATCTGGATGTTTGGGTGTCATGTTCTCTGGTTCCTGTGAATGCTGCTGCTGTGGACATGCACGCTTCCCCGAGCTGGCCTCAGACTCCTGATGCCCCAGAGTTCAACTCACACCATCTACCCTGTGCCCCCAGAAGCCAGCTACAAGCCGGCTGCCGTGCAGGGGCTGGCTATCTGACCCAGAGCGCCCCACGTGCTGGAGTGATCACAGAACTCAGGCGTTTTACATTGCAGACTGCTGGCTTATTGTAAAAGGATGGACACAGGACACAAACTCCCCAGAAGTGTGGCGAGCCAGGCTGGAGAAAGGGCAGCGCTCCCCAAATCTCCATGGGCTCACCAAGCCGAGGGTCTGGGGCCCGCTGTCCCCTGGGCCTTCTCAGAGGCTTCGTTACGTGGGCGTGAGTCACGGCCCCACACCGGTCTCCCTGCTCGGCTCCCCTACTGCACATCTTACCCCGTCTGGGGTACCTTGACTTCTCTCAGGTTTCTCGCAGGTGCATACGGCGAGGGTGTAGACTTCTGTCAGCTCTGATTTCTTCGCTGCTGTCTCTTCAAAGCCCGGCACGGACAAAGTGCTCGGCCAGTGCTGGCTGAGTGAACCAGTCACTCAGTGAACAAAAAGGACTACAGGCCCGGAAGCGTCTCAGACCCAGTGAGGATCAGCTCAGGGCCTCCCTGGTGGCCCAGGGGCCGAGTCTCAGCACTTCGAAGCGATCAGTGGCCACTGTGGCCTGAGTTCGAGTCCCCGCCCCAGAGGTGACCCTCAGAGTGCAGCAGTGTGTCCTGTCTCCCTGCTGCTCCCCTCAGCAGTGTCTCCATCAGCCCCCTACTCTGCTCCCCTCTCTCTCTGTGGAGTCCTCTCACCCCCCGACCCCCACCACCTCTGGCCTGCACCCTGTTGTAAGCATTCAAAAAAAAAAAAAAAAGAACACAAGCTGATATTAGGTCTGGGTGCCCATCCGGGATGTCCAAAGAGGGGGGCAGGAAGTAACTCCGAGTTGGGGCCCAAGAGGGAGGTGGCTCCCTGAGGGTCAGAGTGTAAACTTCACGTTTGAACAACCTGTGCAAAAGCTCAGAGACAGGCTGGATCTTTGCAGAAAGCTGGCGGGGGGACCAGGACATCAAAAAACTGCCCTAGGCAGGAAGGAGCAGGCACCCCGGCCCGCTGCGGGAAGGCGAGAAGAAACATGACAATAGCAGGGGTGAGCACAGGCCAGAAGAACAAGGGTGGACAGGTCCAGGGGAGGCGGGGCAGGGGATGAGGTTGGCTGAGGTCGGCGAGCGCCACAACCTCAAGGACTTGGGGGGCCTTGGCGAGAACTACGTGACAAGAACTGCATTTGGGAGCCCCTAGAAGTTTTGGGCGGCGGAGGGCGGTGCCTGGAGACAGCAGGCGGGCGCACAGCAACAAGCTTTGGGGTGAGGGTGTCTGCTGCAGGCGCGAATGCCGGAGCCTGCCGGGAACCTGGAGGGGCTTGCGCAGCCCTGGCTGACCTTGTCCCCGTGGGCGGCGTCCTGGCGCCGGCAGGGGGCCCTCCCGAGCCAGCACAGCCAGCGGCAGAGACGCAGAAGCTACAGCCGACAGGCGCCTTTACTTGAGGCTGGGGTGGGGGGCGGGCGGTGGTGGTGGGGGGGAACGCAGGCTGCCCTGTGTCAGGTGCCGCTGATGTACCACTCCCAGACCACCCTGCGGGGAGAAGAGGGGGTGCGCTGGGCCCAGGCGCCCGAGCCCCGCAGGAGGCGCTCGGCCCAGAGGCCCCGCACCCCGGGACTCACCACCCCAGCAGGGTCAGGCTCGCTGACTGCAAGGCGGCGATGGCCACCAGCAGCCACCAGTTGTCGGGCGTCAGGGCGTCGGGCCTGGTCAGCAGCTCGAGCAGGCTCGGGTTCCAGGGCTCCGGCAACTCACGGTCCGGCTGCGACGACCAGTTGAGCACCTCGCGGAAGGTGATCTGTAGATCCGTCTGGTCGCGCGAGCCCGGGCCCGTCACTGCGGGGGCGGTGCACGTCAGCCCCGCCCCGCGAGGCCCCGCCCCGCGAGGCCCCGCCCCGCGAGGCCCCGCCCCACACCGTTCAGGTAGAAGTAGACGCGCGCCAGCAGGAGCTCGTCGTCAAAGATCGAGCAACTGAAGGTTCCGCGGTGCGAAGGCAGCGCCGGCCGGATCCGCGCCACGCTGCCTCCGCTGTGCTCCAAGTCCCGGAAGTACATCTGCTGCTGCGTCCGGACCTGCTGGGTCATGGCGGCTCAGCGGGGCCCGCCCCGCCCCCCGCTGGCCCCGCCCCCCGCCAGGCGGGCTCTCTGGCCCCAAAAAGGCCCAGGCACCAGCCCGGGTCCCACCCGGGAAGCCTGGACGCCGCCCGCTGGTCCCAGGGCCTGCGGCAGCAGGAACCCGAACCCACTACCCGAGCCCCCCTTGCCCCTCCTCCCCCTTCCTCAAGGAAAGCACAGTTGCCCCAATACCTTCCGCACCGCCCCCGCCCCACTCACCCCTTCCGCGAACTTCCAGATATAGGTGACGTCCTTGTGGGGCAGCGTGAAGTTGACGGTGCACGAGAACCGGGCCTGGCGACCCCGAATCACCGTCACATCCTGCACTGAAGACGGAGCCGCGTCACCGGGGGCCCCGGCCCGCCCGCCAGGCCCCTGCAGGCCAGGCCTCACCTGGGCAGTCCAGCGGGAGGTTGCAGGTGAGGGGGGTGCACTCCTGGCAGCTGTAATACCGGATCTGCTCCTGGAGGCCTGTGGGGGCGCACGCTGGGCCGGCTGCCCTCCCCAGCCGGGGGCAGGAGCCCTCCCAAGTCTCTCGCACAGGCCAGGGTCCAATTACTTTGCTTTGGCACTGGCATCCACCTGGTGGTGGGCCAGGGCCTGGTTTAGTCTTCTCTAGGGCTTTCACTGGTCTCTCAGGATTTAAGAGGCCCACCCTTACCTTCCCACTGGGTATCCCTGGGTGCCACTCGACCACCTCCCTACTCCCCTGCAACCCTCGGGTTGGAATGGTGACCTTACCACAGGGTGGGATGCATTTCGGGGCTGTGAGGGAGAGGAGAGCACGTTATGGGGATGCCCCCTTTGGGCTAACAGGTGTTAAGCTGATGAAGGGATAGCAGTGGGGAGGTGCAAAGGCACACCTCTGAAGGGGAGTCAGGCCGGCAGTACCCCCAAGAGAGGGTGGGCATGAGGGCCAGCCCAGTATTCCACCCCAGGGGTGGGGTAGTTCCCAGGTGATCCTGGGGGGTGACAGGGCCCAATTGTGCAGGTTAGTAAGAAAGGACCCCCTCTTCCCCAGAGCTCAGGATCTGACCCAGAAAGAAAAGACAGGAACACGGGGAAAGGGTCCAGGAGGGAGAGGAAATCCACCTTTAGGGCAGGGCAGGCTCAGGGCCCTGCGGGGAGGGCTCCCCCTCCCCTCAGAGCAGCTCAGAGATGGAGCCAGGGCTTGGGGCTGAAAGGAGAGCCCAAGTTCTCCATGTATGCAGGCAGGGCTGAAGTCCATTTACCTGGTTTCAATTTCATGATTTCCTGCATTGCCTGGGCAGCACCATCGAAGGGGTGTTGATAAGGAGAGAGCTCTGGAGAATGGAGAGGGGCCTTACTTAAAAGGCCCGGTCTTGAGCCCCAACGCTGGACACTGCTGTCATGGTGTCTGTGCCCTTCCCTCTACATGGTGTGGGGCTCACTCTCATCCCCTCCTGCCCCGCCTATCAGGCAGACTGTCAAGCCCAAGTCCCCTTCCTTCTGACCCCTCTCTGGTGGAACACCCCTCTCCCTGCTTACCTTGAAGGAGAGGGGGAGGGGAAAGCTCCACTTCCTGGCTCAGGCCTACAAGGTCCTACATTTCCTCTCCCTCATCCCCTCCTTCATTCCCCCCAAATGCAAAAACTGTCACCCCTGGGCGTTTGCACATCCTGGCCCCATCTCCAAGCCTTTCTCCCCACTTCCTCCCGGGCCGCCATGTCTTAGGTCACCTCCCTAGAGGTTTCCCCTGGCTACAGCTCTCACCAGTTTGCTACAGGAGATGCTCATACAGCCAGCCATTGCTGCCTCAGCCTCTTACGTATGCAAACGTCCTTCTTTAGTGCTGAGTCCTCAGAGCCCAAACACAGAAAATGCTCAGTAGGGGGCCTCCTTGGTGGCACAATGGATTAAAGTGCAGCACTATGAAACCAGCGCAGCTGCTTCAGCATGTTCCATCCTTGGACAGGGGTGACCCACAGGGCGCAACAGACCCCTCCTGTCTCGCCACTGCTTCCTTCAGCAGTGGATTTCAGCCAGCCTGCCTGTTCTGCTCCCCACTCTGCCTCTGGTGAATCAGGGTGGACCTTAACCCAGTATGAGGGACTTTCTTGTAAGAGGAGGAAATGTGGCCAGAGCCCCGGGAAGGGGCAGTCATAAATCATCTCAAGTCGGAGAGAGAGCTCACGCAAAACCATGCCGCCACATCCACACCTTGACCTTGGCTTTCTGACTTGTTTTCCTTTCCACAGCCACCCAGTCTGTGGCCTCTTGTTACGCAGCCCTAGCGAACCGATACACAGGCATTGCCAGTTGCCTCCAATATTTTCTCTTCGGTGAGTAACAAAACACAGACTCTCAGGTGGGAAATGTCTGCTCCCCACCCCCACCAGCTAAAAGACTATCATTTCCCAGCTTTCCTTGCAGCTAGCTGTAGTCATGTAGCCTAGGTGGGATCATGTGACCAAATCCTGACCCTTGATTTGTCAGTGGAAACGTCACGTGGGTCACAGGAATAACTTCCAAAGTGGCCATCCACTCCCCTTCCTCCACCCTGCTGTGTGAAACTCGGACTGGATGGCTGGTGCCTCAGCTCTCATCCTGGGCCATGAGGATGCGGGCAGAGAGGAAGGGGCATGGCTCAAGATGATGCACACTAACTTTAAAATGCTTACACTTCAAGACTTGCTTTACATGGGAGCAACAAGCTTTCAGCCTTCAGAGTCTTCCACAGAGGGCATGGCGGATTCTGTCAAGAACATGGCTGAAGTGAAGATGACTGGGTAGAAGCTGGGGAGCGGGGTCATTCAAGCCAGAGAGTGGGTTCGGTATGCAGGGTCAGCGCCTCGGAGGGCTCTCCTTGGCCACTGAGCACCTGTGTGGTCTACATTTGGCCAGGAGGCTGTGGGCAGAGTGGCCTGGTCAAATGAAAAGCCAGGGGTTGGAGGAGTCATCCAAAGTGAGACTGATGGATGGGCCAAAGCAAAGGTTTACAGGGAGGGGAGTGAGTTGAGGAGAGGGAGAAGGGCTTAGAGATCTGGTAAACTGGGGCCCTCCCTGGTGCTCCAACCGGTGAAAGCAGCTTATAGGGCTGCGGCCAGGGAGCTGACCCAGAGGGCGACCTCTCCTGCCCTGCCCACTGCTCCCTCAGCAGTGTACTTCAACCTGCCTACTGTGTACCCCAGAGCCACACCCCAGCTCTTGTATGCATAAATAAATCTTTAAAAAGAGAGAGAGACCTAGTAAACTCTGAGTAAAGTAGGTAAAGCAGGGATAGAGTGAAATGTCCCTAGAGACCAAGGGTCTATGAGTCACAAGGGGGTGCAAACAGATGTCACCAAGTGGCCCCAAATAAGTACTAACTTAGCTTCCACTATCGCTGCTCAGGCTTGAGTCCCGGCTGCTGCAGCTGAGCACCCCTGCCTCACACCACACAGCTGCACCAAGTTCTATCCCAGGTGACCATGGCGACTCATTTCCTGCGCCCCAGCTTCCTCCTTCATAAAATAAGGCTGATGGCTACATCACAGGGTCGGGGGGAGGGGCAAAACAGCATGGGTCCCCCACTGCGCACCAGGCTCCATGTGACAATGGCATGAGGCCCCCCATCCTGAGCCAGAGGACATCTGTATGTGCTAAGAAGAGGTGCCTGGCACACAGAGTGTTCTAGAAGGGTCAGAGACTAGTATTGTCGCCCCCAAGTTTGAGGTGGGGAAACCGAGGCACAGAGGTTACGATGGTGGCCCAAGGTCACAAAGCTACATCAGAACCCAGACCGGTTTACACCCAAGTGTCAGGGTGAGTCCCAGATTTGTCTCCCATATGAAACACAGGGCTGTAAAATCCACCTCCAGAACTGGAGCCAGGACACCCCCCATACCCTGGGCAGGCCTGGCACAGTCGTGTCCCGCCACCCTCATGGTACCCCTCAGCTCAGCTTGGCCCGCGGGGGCCATTCAACTAGTCCCAGCCACCAGGTCCTCCCTGCGTCTGCCCTGTCCCCCAGTGGTTTAGTTAGACCCTGGCTAGCTCTTTCCTGAAATCCTCTCCAGCTGCTTCCCCAGCTCCAGAGCAAGCCAAGTGCAGCCCAACCCACAGCAGCGGTTCTCAGAGCACGCTCTGGGCCAGCATTAGGAACGCTGCTTTCAAAAGGGCTCGGAATGGCCCAGAGCCTCCCTGTTGCTCCTGGGGACTAGAGTGGCGTGGTCCACTGAGGCCGGAGCCCAGTCCTTGCCCAGAAAAGGCCAAGTCCCACGGGCTGACAACCACAATGCCATCTTGCAGCAGGGGAGGAGCGGGAGTGAAGGACCGGGGAGCAGGGTGGTGGCTCGTGGGTGGGTCACTGGTGGGAGGGCTGCAGCTCGGGAACAGTGGGCGACCCAGACAGGAGAGAAATGTGTTTTTAGAAAAAATTCCTTCCCCTAAGTGATTCCAGACCCACTGGGCCCAGGAACCTGCATTCCAACAAGCTCCCTGGAGATCACACACACGCACACACACACGCACACGCACGGGCCCTGCAACTGCTCTGACGTCATGTCCTCTTACTTTCTCAGTGACTCCACGCCACTCGCACTGGCCCCAGGGCCTTTGCACGGCCCTTCTCACAGCCTTCTCCTTCAAACCTTCACTCCATGGACCTTCTCATTTGTCCCGCCCCAACCAACCCATTTAAAAGACCACCCGACTAGCCACCTCATTCCCATTAGCTTGTGCGCAAGGCCCACCCACGCCACAGGCTGTGTCACTGACATTTACTATCTCCCCCACCCCCTAGCAACACTGGGGGGGGGCCTTGCAGTGTGGGTCACAGCTGTGCCTCCAGAACTGCTCCCCAGCACATTCAGTAAACATCTGTATCGTATTGCACCAGCTTCTCCCGGCCTCCAGTCTCTCCCTCCACCTGGAGCTGACCCTTGAGTCCCATGACCTCAGCTGAACGCTATAGGTTGGCATCCGGATGCCTTCTGGGGGGTCGCGGGGACCCTGGTCCTGGCATCCTAGCCCAGCTCACTGTCGGCCTCTGCTCCTGGCTTCATCTCAGGGTGATGACACCCCCTGGGTAGAGCAGAACCTCCCTATTTTGGGGGATCCTTGTCAAAAAGCTTTGGCGGGCAGGCAAGGGAGAAACCATGGTACACCACAGACACAGACGCGGCTCAGGAGGGAGGAGGGGGCACTCCCTACAGCTGTGCCCCGCCCACCCATCACCCCAAGGGCTCTGGCTGCTGGCACCTTTGGAGGGGGTCAGTGGCCACTGCCCAGCCTGAGGCCCCTCTCCATGCCACACCCCCAAGCCTCCCTCTGTGGCCACCTGTTTTCCAGATGAATAGCCCCACGTGTCCAAAATGCTGAGTCACTTTAATAACCATGGGGACCGTCTGCAGCACACCTGGGGGACAAGTCACCACCCCTCACAGGTGAGCCATCACCTGGCCAGAACCTCACCAGCTACATAGCTGGTAACCCACCCCCCGCACCCCAATGAGCTCCAGCTACTTCTGCACAGCCGCTTCACCCCCCCCATGCCCAGCGCCCCCATCCCGGCCAGTGGGGCCGCCCACACTCACTCAACTTCGACCTCCTGGGCCACTTCTTTAAGTCGTCCAAGGTATCGAGGAACTCTTTCTGCAGTTCGGGTCTGTCCTCATAGCCTGGGGGTGCAAGGGCTTGGGGCGAGCCGCTCCCCCAGTACCACTCCCCACCGCGGACAGCCTGTCTCCCTGGGACACCCTGTCTCTGGTCTCTGCCCGGCCTCTTCCCTCCTCTCCACAGCCTCTACCCTCCTGTCTCCAGGGTCTGTCACCCCATCTCCACCCCTAGTCGCCGCGGCCCCACTGAGTTAGCTCCTGGCCTCTGCCTCAGCCCCGTCTCTGCCCCTCGGTGTGCCTCTCTGGGAGTCCCCCGGCTCCTCACGGATGTCCAAGTGCTGTAAGTGCTGAAAGGCATTCTCCAAGGACTTCTGGCATTTGCCCCGGTCCCAGGGCCAAAACACTAAGGCTCTGCAAACGTCGTACCGCTGATTTGAGGTGGTGAAGCACAAGAGACAGGCCCAGGCTGGGGCCCTGAGGATGGTCAGGGCTACCAGGGCAGTGGGGACCAGCAGGGCCATGGCGAGGGGCTAGGGGAGAAGCTGGTAACCTTTGTGAGGTCACCGGGTGGGGGGGGCGGGACAGGCCCCTGGGGTCAGAGGTCACCTCTGCTGAGGTCAAATGTGAGACAGCAGCAGCTGAAGGGGTTTGTGGGCAAGGTCAGGCCCGGCCAGGCCGGCTCTCCCCAGGCAGGTGGCTGGGCCGGACGCCAGGCTCCCAAGAACCTCACCTGTGACCCTGGACATCCTCACAGGTTAAAGGGTCTCAGGGACCCAGAGGCCGGCATGCCGGGTGGGGTGGCCCCAGGGCCCTGAGGTGAGGGGTGGGGCAGGGGAGTCAAGATGGCTGGGGCACAGAGTGGGAGGTACAGGAGGCAAGAAGCTGAGTGGGGGGTTGGGAGGGTCAGAGCCCCAGAAGCCACAGGAAGCAAGAGGTGGGCCAGCCTGCAGGGACCCGGAGGAGCCCCCAGAAGCAGTGGGGTGGGCCGACAGGCAGGAAGAGCTTCCTTGGTGTGAGGGAAGCTCTCTGAGGGCAGCACGAAGGGCCAGAGCAAGACAGGGCAGAAGGGCCCGGCCCCTCTCCCCGGGGCCACTCAGCCTCCCTGGTTCATGACAGGGGACTGCAGTCAGGGGCTGGGGGGCCCCACCGGGCGTCCTGTGCAGGGCGCAGCCTGGGGAAAGCTAGGAGGCCGTATAGTGATCTCCGTGGGTGTCCTCCTCAACTATACAACCTCCTACCTCAGCCCGGGGGGCGCGGCAGGTGGACAGACACACAGAGAGGACAGGTGGGGGCCAGGAGGGCGGGGAGGCCCAGCCGCGATGGTGAGCCCCCGACACAGACCCACAGACACGAGCTTGTGTGTGGCGAAGGCCCCGCAAGGTCGGTTCTACGGGTGGGTGCCAAGACCCAGGAATGGGCCCCCGCCTCCTCCCCCAGACCCCCTCCTCCGCCCCCACACCTAGAACCCCTCCCGGACACTCAGCCCAGACCCCTGGTCTCCTCCCCCAGACCCAGGAGCCAGGTCTCATCCTCCTCCCCCACACTCAGAGCCCAGGGCCCCCCTCTCCCCACACCCTGAGCCCAGGCCTCTGGCCTCCTCCCCACCCCCAGAGCCC